ACCTGCCACCCTGAGAGGAACCATCATACACACTGATCAAGGTCACAGTGACATGAAATGCTGTACCTACAGAATATCAATGGCCAAGACAAACAGCCATTTTGCTGATGTCTTATTTGAGATATTCTGTTAGATGGACAATAAAATATCTATCTATTACATGCAAGTGCAGTCCCACAAAATGGCATTTAAGAACATATACTAAAGAGATAATTCTGTAGGACATCAACAGCAAAAACACTGTTTGCATCCCAAATGGCACCCTATTCCCTTCATAGAGCACTACTTTTGACCAGATAGGGTGCCATATGGGACACCTCCACTGATGGAAGTTTATGTAGTGTAAATAACATAGGTCTCTAGTCTCAAGCACATGTTGAGTTGAAAGGTTCTCCCAGAGCAGCACTTCACCACAAAGAGAGTTTGAAGTGTTTAACGTTGCCAAGTACAGAGCTGTCCTGAACCCTTAAAGACACAGAGGAGAGGATCACTAGAGTCTCTCTTTACTCCCCTCTGATGGATAGGGACTCACTCTGCCAGGTTCAGCCTGGTGTGTGTGTGTGTGTGTGTGTGTGTGTGTGTGTGTGTGTGTGTGTGTGTGTGTGTGTGTGTGTGTCCAGTCAGCCGGTTTGGGCTGGTTAGCTATCTGGTGTTTGTTTGAGCGTGCAGATGAAACTGTCGGTAAGGTCCTGGGCGCTAGCTAGCGTGCAACGGCAGCGAGCCGCCCTCACCCTCTTCCATCATTAGCATGTTGATGTTATGGGTAGCTATGCTGGAGAAACCTGTTTAATACACAAACACAAACCTTCTTTGGCTCGCTTTACCTCTCTTATCCCTCTCTCTCTCTCCCTCTCTCTCTCCCCCCCTCTCTCTCTCCCCCTCTCTCCCTCTCCCTCTCTCTCTCCCCCTCTCTCTCCCCCTCTCCCCCTCTCTCCCTCTCTCTCTCCCTCCCTCAGGTGTGCTGGTCTCTGCATGTCCTCCTTATCCTCCATATCTCCTCCTCCCATCCCTCTCTCCCTCCCCACTCCCTCATGTTCAGCCTCCGTGTTTATACAAGACCCTACACAAGACCACCCGTAGGAAAAAGGAGGGAGCTTACTACAAAAATTAAAAACACAGGTTTATTAATGTGTTATGAGTTGTGCTAGAAATAATATTGTTGTCCTTTCTAGAAGTTCTCCAAACCTGTCACACTTGTCCCTGAGGATTTGTAACGTGAGTACAGGGAAGGTTTGGAATGTTCAAGCTATTAACCACAAACCATTTAAATAGTCTGGTACGACAGCTACAACAGGCCAAATCATTTTCCACCGATCAAATAATTCACCTTAAGAGCAATCCAATTCTAATTGTCATATTGAAATATGATGGTTTCAGTTTTGTGTCTGTTGGAGTAGCGAGCTCCCTTCAAAACCCTGGTAGAGTCCCAAATGGCATCATATTTCCTATGTAGTGCACTACTTTTGACCAGGGCGTGGGAATATGATGCCATTTGGGACGCCACCCCATCTCAATGTGACTGCAGTTGAGATTATCCACGTGATTTGCTGTGGGATCATAAACTTCCTGGTGTAGTGTGGCAGGGAGTGACGTGACTGTTAAACGCTGTTCATCATTCATATTTAACTATTCTGTAGTCATTTATTACATTCAGTGCTTCACAGTCCTGAGAGCCTCCGCTGCCACTCCCTCTGTCTCTCTATCTTCCTCTTCTCCTTCGCTCCCTTCCTCTGTCTCTGTCCCCATCCCACCTCTATCATTCCTTTCTCTCACCCCCTCCTTCCCCAATGCCTCTCCTCCATCCTTCCCTCTTTTTTCCTCCCTCCAACCTTTACCTATCCCCTCCCTCCTCTCACATCCCTCCACTTCCTCCTCCTATCCACTCCACTTTTCCACCTCCCCCTCCCTCCCTCGCCCTCCTGCACCTCTCCTCCCATCCCCCCTCCTCACATCCCTCCCTCCCCACATCCTATCCCTCCCTCCTATACCTCCTCCCTCCCTCCCTCCTATACCTCCTCCCTCCCTCCCTCCTATACCTCCTCCCTCCCTCCCTCCATACCCCTCCCTCCCTCCCGTCCTATACCTCCTCCCATCCCTCCCTGCCTATACCTCCTCCCTCCCTCCCTCCTATACCTCCTCCTCTCCTCAGACTGGGCATGTCTCCAGGTGATAGTGTAGACAGAGAGAAGACAGAATAAAGATGACAAGTACTTTTGGATCAGTCCCTAGCCATATGGGCCAGGGACAAACCACTGGGCTTTGCTAGATGAATAATACACATCATGGTTGCTTTCCAAATAGCACCTCTTCCGTATTTAGTGCACTACTTTTGACTAGGGCCTATATATGTTAGTGTTTCCTTTATTTTGGCAGTTACCTGTATGACCTCTGAAGAAAATAAAGAAAGACTGCATGATGGATAAAGGCTCTTTAGCAGAAAAGTTGGTCAAATAAACCCACAGAAAGGAAACATGACTGTGCGACTTCCTTTTTAATTTGTTTAACGCCTGACCTCTCCTAAAATGTGGGGGAGGATTTTACCCCTATACTTGGATGTATATGTACCATGACCACCCCTATAGATGATGGACCAATCCATCCACCCAAGCTTATCTGTTTCAAATAATGTTTTTCACAAGCAGGACTTGTAACTTGTGAGCTTGTTTCCAATTCAGTGACTTATTATGTGTCATTAATTAACTGACACATAACACCCCAAAATCATTTCAAATTATATTTCAGATTCAATGTATTCCCCTTAGAGGCCTATCTTTATCAAAGAGCCTTTTTTTCTTCTAATGAAAAACATTTGATGAATAGATTCAGTCCCATGGGGTAAGCTATTTGAGGAAGCAGTGTTCAATGTTGAAATAATAATTCCTGGTAATAGCACCAAAGGGACAGACAGCCATCTTTAAAAAATAAAATCAATGCGGCCTCCTTGTGCACCCTAGCCAGTCTCCAACACCAATAGGAGTAGAGAGGGAGAAAAGGAGGTCTGAGTTATAACTCTGTACCAGGGCCTTAGCAGTGTAGTCAGGCCCAGAGAAGCCCTTTATAAATCGGTTAATTCCTCCTTCGGCCCTGTGTTCACTGCAGGAACCAGGAACCACTTAATAGGAACCAATCAGGCCTGGCCTGAGCTGTCCATGACAGCTCTTTTCCACAATTCCCATGTCTGGCTCAGACAACTGCAGATCAAGTTGGATTATGATCTTGAATGTGATCGTGATCTTGATTGTGATCAAATTTGATCTCGCCAGAAATAAACAAACCCTTGTGTGTGTAAGATATTCCAGCAGCAGAGTGTTAGTTACACCCCTTGACTTTTCCCATATTTTGTTGTGAATTTAACATGGATTAAATTGAGGCTTTTGGTCACTGGCTTACACACAATGCCCTATAATGTCAAAGTGGAATTTTGTTTTTCAAAATGTTTACACATTTATTAAAATGCAAAAGCTGAAATGTCTTGAGTCAATAAGTATTCAACCCCTTTGTTATGGCAAGTCTAAATAAGTTCAGGTGTAAACATTTGCTTAACAAATCACATAATAAGTTGTATGGACTCACTCTGTGTGCAATAATAGTGTCTAACATGATATTTGAATTACTATCTCATCTCTGTACCCCACATATACAATTATCTGTAAGGTTCCTCAGTCGAGAAGGGAATTTCAAACACAGATTCAACCACAAAGACTAGGGAGGTTTTCCAATGCCTCGCAAAGAAGGGCACCTAAAAAAGTTATTAATTACACTTTGAATGGTGTATCAATACACCCAGTCACTACAAAGTTACAGGTGTCCATCCTAAATAATTTACTGGAAAGGGATTTCACCATGAGGCCAATGGTGACTTTAAAACAGTTACAGAGTTTAATGGCTGTGATAGGAGAAAACTGAGGATGGATCAACAACATTGTAGTTACTCCACAATACTAACCTAATTGACGGAGTGAAAATATTCCAAAACATGCATCCTGTTTGCAACAAGGCACTAAAGTAATACTGCAAAAAATGTGGCAAAGCAATTAACTGTTTGTCCTGAATTTTGAAAATAATAATGGGCAAATGTTGTACAATCCAGGTGTGGAAAGCTCTTGGAGACTTACCCAAAAAGACAAACAGCTGTAATCGCTACCAAAGGTGCTTCTACAAAGTATTGACCCAGGGGTGTGAATACTTATGTAAATGAGATACAGTATTTCTATATTTAACTTTCAATACATTTGCAAAAATTTCTAAAAACATGTTTTCACTTTGTTATTATGGGGTATTGTGTGTAGATGGGGGAGACAAAAAAATATATTTAATCCACTTTGAATTCAGGCTGTAACACAGCAACATGTGGAATAAGTCAATGGGTATGAATACTTTCTGAAGGCACTGTATAAAAGTATAACCAAACATGGTTTAAAATGGTATCAAGGTCAGCTTGTTTGTAGAACTGCATGAAAAATGCTTTGAAGGATGCTGGAGTTACAAACAGTACAATAAAACACCTGTGTTATTTTCTTCATATAGTCAAGGATATAAAATACAATACAGCATTTCAACATCAACTATATGTCTCAAAATCGAGTTACTACTGTATCTCTACTGCAGCTTATTTCAACCAGCAGACAGACAGTATTGTTGTGATTGTAACCCTCCAGATTCATTCTCTACTGCCCAGAGTAAAGGAAGCCTCTTGGCACAAAACAGCCCTGCTGTCCCTGATGTGGGGACTAAATCCACTTAGTGGGCTGTGTTGATGGTACAGGAACACCAGTTAGCTGCACACACCAGGGTAACGTCCCAAATAGAACCCTATTCCCTATATAGTGCACTACTTTTGACCAGAGCCCATGCAACAGTGTGCCATTTGGGACGCAGCCCAGCATAGCTATTATCACAGCTAGCCATCAGTAGTCAGTGACTTCCTTATTCCAGCCGCTCTGTACCACAATATTTCTGCACTGAGTGATAAAGCCAGGCCTGACCACAGACCACTGGAACTAGACTGTGTGGGGCCCCTGTCTCATCTCCACGACAGCGTGATGGTTGCAGTGACACGCGTTGGACTGCCACAGCGATGTCATTACTCCTCGCTTGGCGTAATCTGACATGGGTCACAGAGATGGCGGCTATGTTAGGGAAGGAGGGAGATCACTCTGGCCTGTTGAGTCAGGTAATAATCTCTCTCCCTCCCTCCCTCCCTCCCTCTCTCTCTCTCCTCTCTCTCCTTCTCACAATCCTCTCTATTTCACTCCCTCTCTCCCATTCCCTTTCTCTCTCTCCTCTCTCTACATGAAAACATTGCCTCTCCTTTCTGTGAAGGGAGGCTGAGAAGGCTGTGAAGGCTTTACCTTCTGCTGCTCTGCTCTGTGGTGCACATACACACACACACACACACCATATCTGTTATGACATGTTGAAGCCCCAGGACTACCTTCTCTCTCCCCCTGCTGTCTGATAATGAGAGAGACGTGATCCACCATCCTCTACTCTCACCGCTCTGCTCTCTCCACTCCTCCTCTCCTCTCTCCTCTCCTCCAGTCCCCCTCTACTCTCACCGCTCTGCTCTCTCCTTCACTCCTCCTCTCCTCTCCTCTCCTCCAGTCCCCCTCTACTCTCACCGCTCTGCTCTCTCCTTCACTCCTCCTCTCCTCTCCTCTCCTCCAGTCCCCCTCTACTCTCACCGCTCTGCTCTCTCCACTCCTCCTCTCCTCTCCTCTCCTCCAGTCCCCCTCTACTCTCACCGCTCTGCTCCTTCACTCTCTCCTCTCCTCCAGTCCCCCTCTACTCTCACCACTCCCTCCTTCACTCCTCCTTGAATCTCTCCTCTCCTCCAGTCCTCCTTTACTCTCTCCTCTCCTCATCTTCTCCACTCCTCCTTTACTCTCTCCTCTCCTCCTCTCCTCCAATTATCCTTTACTCTCACAGCTCTCTCCTCTCTTCCATCTCCTCCCCTCCCTGTCTCAGCTCAACCACAGGGAACAAACAGGAGTTCTGTCTAAAACATCACTGCTTTCTTTGTCACATCCTCCTGATCCCAAACCTTCACATGCTGACGTACAGTAAGGTGTGAGGGAGCAACGTGACCCAAGCACGATCCTTCTCTCTTTCGATCTATGAGTCAGCCTAGAGTCAGCCATCAGCCATCGTCCTTCTCCTGAACACATCACACTGCATACACCAGGAGGTTGTCTTCACTCTGTACTCAGAGAGCACGTCTGCCAATCATACTGGCTGCAGCAGCACTAAGGTCCAACACAGACAGAACCCTATTCTCTACATAGTGCACTACTTTTGTCCAGAGCCCTATGGCTGCCCTATGGATGCATCCTAAATGGCACCCTACCCTATGTAGAGCCCTATGAGCCCTGGTAAAAAGTAGTGCACTATGTAGGGGATTGGGTGCCATTCGAGAGGCAGATTAAGACTGATCAGAGACCAGTCTATTACATGCTACATAGACCCCCTGCCTGGCTTCATCTCTCTATCTCTCTGTCCGCAAGCTATCTGCATACATCTACATCAGACTGATGTTAATCCCACCATTAATCTGATCCTAGATCAGCAGATACCGATCCCTGTTAACACCAATTAACTCAGCACCCAGCCACACTCCTAACAAGGCCTTTGGTAGTTCTGAGGATGCGTCCCAAAGGGCACCCTATTCCCCCATATGGCTGTGGTCAAAAGTAGTGCACTACATAGGAAATAGGGCGCCATTTGGGATGCAGACTGAAGCCTTGTAAAATAAGGCTTGGGAGTTTTGCGTGACAGCCAGGAAGGAAGCCAGCCAGCCTGATGGTATCTACAATATCGTCTTCTAGTCCAGACAATGTGCTCCTAGGTGATTTGGAAAAACCCTGGCAGCAGGACATATTTTTGTGCATATATTTCTCTATCAATTTGAGTGTGGATTAAATAATTGCTGTTGGACATCATCTTTAATCTTCCCACTGGCAGGAGATTAAAAAAAACATTTCACACAGACCCACCTACAGTAGCTTTAAAAATCAATTCCTGCAGATAGATTGTAAATTCATGGCCGGAAAGCGTAATCAAATAAAGATGTCAAGACACATTCTTGGCCCAGTGTAATCAGAACATCTAACAGCTACCGGCAAATCCCAAACTGACTTCTTGTTTCTATTTCATCAACCAAGCAGTAGGCTACCTGAAGGAGCAGGGCATAAAACGCTCTCTCCACTCTGACATGCAACCAGGCTGGTCCTCTGGGATCAGTAGTGCACACATCCAGACATGGCTGGAATCTGCATGGACATACTGTATTAAGCAATGGTGATCAAGACAGAGGAACCCATTGTGGTGAGATGAAGAGAACAAGAGAGAAAGAAAGACAGAGGGAAAGAGTGTGTGTGTGTGTGTGTGTGTGTGTGTGTGTGTGTGTGTGTGTGTGTGTGTGTGTGTGTGTGTGTGTGTGTGTGTGTGTGTGTGTGTGTGTGTGTGTGCGTAGATAGTGTATGTGAGTGAGAGAGCGAGAGAAAGCTACAAATAAAATTACTGAGAGAGAGAGCGACAGAGAGAAGGAGTGAGCGAGGTGTATCCTACCTTCCAGGACGGTGAGTTTGGCGCTGGTGTTGATCTCTCCCACACTGTTGGTGGCAGTACACTCATAGATGGCCTCGTCCCTGTGAGTCCGCAGGGGCTGGATACGCAGGACGGACCCTGAGCCGTCATCAAACTCTATCACCTGAACACAAGGGTGGGTAGAGGAGAGAAAAAGCGATCAGACCCATGGTCGTCCTGTAACTAAGATTCAAATCTAAACTGATTTAAACAGTCATCTTAACATGGGCATCCCTTTGATCGCTATTTCAGTTACAGGAACATCAGAGCCCTGATGAGTACCAGCCCATTGAGCCCAGTGAATACTCCTGGTTTGATCATTAACAGGGGGACTAATACAGGGCTAAGGTAACTGCTACTTTCTATTTAGCTAGGAGGAACTGGAGTTATAATAAGAGTCTGCACAAGCAGATCAGAAGAGGCAAACCTGACCAGTACTCAAACTCCATCAGTACTATTAATAAACCATCTCAAATAGAGACTACATCTTATCTAATCTCAACTGCAAAGGACCGCCCGGTATTGCATGACCTTGCTGTGGCCCTACGCTCCTCAGGGAGTGAAGAGGAGTAAGTAAGTCTGATCTGATACAATCACCCAATTAGAGAGAAGTTTGTTATATGAAATGAGCCTGAGTGGAGAGCAGGCATTTCAGGAAGGCCTTTCAGGAAGCCAGCCTTTAGGGGGGTAAAGAATCAGAGGTCAGAGGTTCCTTACGCTGCAGTGGAAAGTGGTTGACCTAAACATCCACATGACAGTGAGAACATTCCTGAACATTCAGAGGAGCACACCTGGGTTCAAACTGTATCTGAAATATTTCTATCACTTTGAGCGTTCACTTGAGCCTGCCTAGCGTGCCAGATAGGCTAGGTTTTCACTGAAGGGGCTATTCTTCCCTTGGTCCCATTGCGCCAGGCAAGCTCAATCAAGCAATGCTAAAGTATTTGAAAGATTTCAAATACTATTTGAACCCAGATCCTCTCCTCTCTCCCCCTGGGCCCACTGCTCTCCCATGCTCTCCCACACCTCCACACGACTGCACACAGAGCAGGGCTCAGTTTGAGGAGTGCCGTGCAGACAGGTGGAAGATATTTCCTATTAATCACGTCAGTGTGAGCTGAGTGTCTGCATCTGTGGAAGGACCCATGTTGAGACCGCTTCACTTGAAACCATTTCTACTAGCTGGCAGCTAATGGGCCTCCCTGCTGCTACTGCTTTTAGCGTATGCCTGTCTGTCTGTCTGTCTGTCTGTCTGTCTGTCTGTCTGTCTGTCTGTCTGTCTGTCTGTCTGTCTGTCTGTCTGTCTGTCTGTCTGTCTGTCTGTGTCTGTCTGCCTGTCTGCCTACCTGGTCTGTCTGTCTGTCCACTTACCTGGTCTGTCTGCCTGTCTGTCTGTATGCCTGCCTACCTGGTCTGTCTGTCTCTGTCTGTATGTCAGCCTGCCTACCTGGTCTGTCTGTCTGTCTGTCTGTCTTTCTGCCTGCCTACCTGGTCTGTCTGTCTGTCTGTCTGTCTGTCTGTCTGTCTGTCTGTCTGTCTGTCTGTCTGTCTGTCTGTCTGTCTGTCTGTCTGTCTGTCTGTCTGTCTGTCTGTCTGTCTGTCTGTCTGTCTGTCTGTCTGTCTGTCTGTCTGTCTGTCTGTCTGTCTGTCTGCCTGCCTGCCTGCCTGCCTGCCTGCCTACCTGGTCTGTCTGTCTGTCTGTCTGTCTGTCTGTTTGCCTGCCTACCTGGTCTGTCTGTCTGTATGCCTGCCTACCTGGTCTGTCTGTCTGTCTCTCTGTCTGTCTCTCTGTCTGTCTGTCTGCCTGCCTTGTCTGAGCAGGATGGCATACATCCGCATTGCTTCAGATGCTGGAAGAAAAAGCAGACAGAGCGAGAGGAGGAGGTGGTCACTGAACTGACACAGACAAACAGACTTTTCCAATACTCTCTCTCAAGTGTTGACATGGCGCCGGAGGGGATGGCTGTCGTTTTATGGACTCTTAACCAACCGTGCTATTTTGTGTGATTTTTCGCATTGTTTGTAACTTATTTTGTACATAATGTTGCTGTTACCGTCTCTTATGACCGAAAAGAGCTTCTGGACATCAGAACAGCGATTACTCACCTTGAACTTATCCCACTGGCTATAGGGTGAACGCACCAATTTATGAGTCGCTCTGGCTAAGAGCGTCTGCTAAATGACGTTAATGTGCCCTTGAGCAAGGCACTTAACCCTAATTGCTCCTGTAAGTCGCTCTGGATAAGAGCGTCTGCTAAATGACTAAAATGTAATGTAAAATGAACTGGAAGAAATTGTTTTATTTAATGAGTCGGACGAAAGGGATTTCCTCCAGACACCCGACAGGGCCCACATCCCCGTCATTCGCAGTAGAAAGAAAATGAGATATCGCGGAAGGAGATCGGGGTGCTTGGTAAGGAGCCGGCGACGAGTGGCTAATCTGCCTTTGCCATCGATACTATTGGCCAACTTACAATCGCTTGATAATAAAGTGGACGAACTACAGGCACGTATATCCTACCAACGGGACATTAAAAACTGTAATATCTTATGTTTCACCGAGTCGTGGCTGAACGAAGACATGAATAACATACAGCTGGCGGGTTATACACTGTATCGGCAGGATAGAACAGCAACCTCTGGTAAGACAAGGGGTGGCGGTCTATGTATATTTATAAACAACAGCTGGTGCACGATATCTAAGGAAGTCTCGAGGTTTTGCTCGCCTGAGGTAGAGTATCTCATGATAAGCTGTAGACCACACTATCTACCAAGAGAGTTTTCATCTATATTCTTCGTAGCTGTCTATTTACCACCACAAACCGATGCTGGCACTAAGACTGCACTCAATGAACTTTTTCGGCCATAAGCAAACAGGAAAACGCTCATCCAGAGGTGGCGCTCCTAGTGGCCGGGGACTTTAATGCAGGGAAACTTAAATTTGTTTTACCTCATTTCTACCAGCTGTTAAATGTGCAACCAGAGGGAAAAAACTCTAGACCACCTTTACTCCACACACAGAGACGCGTACAAAGCTCTCCCTCGACCTCCATTTGGCAAATCTGACCATAATTCTATCCCCTGATTCCTGCTTACAAGCAAAAACTTGTGACACCGTCAATAACACCAGTGACTCCGTCAATAAAAAAAGTGGTCAGATGAAGCAGATGCTAAGCTACAGGACTCTTTTGCTAGCACAGACTGGAATATGTTCCGGGATTCTTCCGATGGCATTGAGGAGTACACCACATCAGTCACTGGCTTCATCAATAAGTGCATCGATTACGTCATACCCACAGTGACTGTACGTACATACCCCAACCAGAAGCCATGGATTACAAGCAACATCCGCACTGAGCTAAAGGGTAGAGCTGCCGCTTTCAAGGAGCGGGACTCTAACCCGGAAGCATATAAGAAATCCCGCTATGCCCTCCGACAAACCATCAAACAGGCAAAGCATGACGACTGTGTGATCACGCGCTCCGTAGCCGATGTGAGTAAGACCTTTAAATAGGTCAACATTCACAAGGCCGCATTTTCAACCTCTCCATGTCTGAGTTTGTAATACCAACATGTTTCAAGCAGACAACCATAGTCCCTGTGCCCAAGAACACTAGGGTAACCTGCCTAAATGACTATCGAACCGTAGCACTCACGTCTGTTGCCATGAAGTGCTTTCAAAGGCTGGTCATGGCTCACCTCAACACCATTATCCCAGAAACCCTAGACACACTCCAATTTGCATACCGCCCCAACAGATCTACAGATGATGCAATCACTATTGCGCTCCACACTTCCCTTTCACACCTGGACAAATGGAACACCTATGTGAGAATGCTATTCATTGACTACAGCTCAGTGTTCAACACCATAGTGCCCTCAAAGCTTATCACTAAGGACCCTGGGAATAAACACCTCCCTCTGCAACTGGATCCTGGACTTCCTGACAGGCCGCCCCCCAGGTGGTAAGGGTAGGTAACAACACATCCGCCACGCTGATCCTCAACACGGGGGCCCCTCAGGGGTGCGTGCTCAGTCCCCTCCTGCACTCCCTGTTCACTCATGACTGCATGGCCAGGCACGACTCCAACACCATCATTAAGTTTGCCGATGACACAACATCGTCTGATCACCGACAATGACGAAACAGCCTATAGGGAGGAGGTCAGAGACCTGGCCGTGTGGTGCCAGGACAACAACCTCTCCCTCAACGTGATCAAGACAAAGGAGATGATTGTGGACTACAGGAAAAAGAAGAGGACTGAGCACGCCCCCATTCTCATCGACGGGGCTGTAGTGGAGCAGGTTGAGCTTCAAGTTCCTTGGTGTCCACATCACCAACAAACTAACATTGTCCAAGCACACCAAGACAGTCGTAAAGAGGGCACGACAAAACCTATTCCCTCTAAGGAGACTGAAAAGATTTGGCATGGGTCGTCAGATCCTCAAAAGGTTCTACAGCTGCACCATTGAGAGCATCCTGACTGGTTGCATCATGGCCTGGTATGGCAACTGCTCGGCCTCCGACCGCAAGGCACTACAGAGGGTAGTGCGTACGGCCCAGTACATCACTGGGGCCAAGCTTCCTGCCATCCAGGACCTCTATACCAGGCCCTAAAAATGGTCAAAGACTCCAGCCACCCTAGTCATAGACTGTTCTCTCTGCTACCACATGGCAAGTGGTACCGGAGCGCCAAGTCTAGGTCCAAGAGGCTTCTAAACAGCTTCTACCCCCAAGCCATAAGACTCCTGAACATCTAATCAAATGGCTATCCAGACGCTGCTGCTACTCTCTGTTTATTATCTATGCATAGTCACTTTAATAACTCTTCCTACATGTACATATTACCTCAATTACCTCGACTAACCGGTGCCCCAGCACATTGACTCAGTACCGGTACACCCTGTATATAGCCTCGCTATTGTTATTTTTACTGCTGCTCTTTAATTATTTGTTACTTTTATTTATTTATTTTTTTATTTTTATTTTTGGTGATTTTCTTTAGTATTCATGACTGTAAGTCGCTTTGGATAAAAGCGTCTGCTAAATGGCATATTATTATTATTATTATTAAAACTGCATTGTTGGTTAAGGGCTTGTAAGCATTTCACTGTAAGGTCTACTACACCTGTTGTATTCGGCGCATGTGACAAATAAAATGTGATTTGATTTTTTTATTTGATCTATGTGGTTGAGTGGTGCTTTGAAACATGTGGGTACGCCCATAGAATAAGAATGAATCTATTAATGTAATTTGGAAAGGACTACTCTGTCTGCTTGGGCTTCCTACAGTGTTTCTTAACATTTCTGTACTGGCAAGCTCATCCATTCTCATTTATGGATGAGAATTACGTAGCTATGTAGCTCAAATCTGGTGCAATATCGTCCTTGTCAAATAAAGAAATAAAATACAATAGTAAAGTAGATCATGTACCTCAAAGCGCTGAGAGCTGACTTTCTTGCCCTTCTTCATCCAGGTGATGCGTGGCTTGGGATCGCCCACCGCCTGGCAAACGAAGGACGCCACTCCTCCCGAAATACCTGTCTGGTCGTCTGGAGACTTGATGAAACTGGGCATGCCTGGGAGAGAGAGAGATAGAGAGAGGACAACTAAAGTACATCAATCAAATTTCACACTAGACCCCAAATTGCAAGCAGCAGCACAGTGGCATGGAAAAACTCCCCTCAGAGCGCAGATAATCAATTGCAGTACGGTTCTAGAAACATAAAGCCCTCTACTTTCATAGACTATATATACAAAAGTATGTGAACACCCCCTTTTAATTTTATTTTTTTTATCTCAAATGCAAAAGATACACTTACTGTACATTGTTTAACCGTTTTAACACAGTTGCAGCCGACAGTTTTTTCAGTGATAACACGTTTGTGGCGTCCGTCTTCCGTTTACACACAGGTGTTAGGAGACGCAGATAGCTAATTAGCACAGGGATGCCTCTGTCTTCCGATAACATGGAAATATGGCCGTGTGGGAATCCTAATCCTAACCCTATAAAAGTGTGTAGTAATTTAACCTTTTGTTTTTAGAATTTTTTCTCTCTCGCTGATATGAAAGATACATTCCTTATGTTTCCAAAACCGTACCGCAAGTGATGCGTTTTAACATTCAGAACGAGCGTCGTGGCTTTTAGCAAAACTCCTCCGGCCAGCAGATACTATCGTCAATAGGCGCTAGTTAGCATCTATGAATGGGTTAGGTAACATTGTGAAACAAAGTGTATCAGACACGAGTCATACTCAAGGCGCAATCCATTCTGAGGGACTCCCAGCATCCTTTGTTTGACAAATTTACGATGCTTCCCTCAGAGCGCAGATACAGGCTCCATAAGTTTAAAACTAACAGGTCTACACTCTCCTTCATCCCAGCTGCTATCAGCTTCCTCAACAAGCTGTAGTAGTATTGTGTGCAGTGTACATATTGCTGTATATACTGGTTTTGGTGTATATTAATGTCAAGTGTTCATTATGTTGTTTAACACATGCTGCAAAATGAATTGCTCCTCTGGGATAATAAATACTCTACTCTACTCTGCTCTACTATACTCTACTCTACCCTTCTCGACTCTACTACTCCCTAGAAAGACAAAACCTAATGAGGAATCAGAGAGGAGGCTGATCCTCTGCTGACTGTACCAAGTAGACGTTAGGACCATCAAGGCCAGACAGAGAGAAAGAGAAAGACAACAATAACACAGGAGTTGGCAGCTGACACTGACACCACTGACACCAAACTGCCTGCAGCCAAACCAAGTCAAAAAAGCCTGCGAACCAAAACCGTCCAGTGCTGTACTGTCCTTTCTGTCATGTGTTGGGTTGTTGCTGTACTTGACATACCACTTCCAGTGCCTGTAAGACTCTCTCATTAATTATGATACAAAACTAGCATATACTAATATAAATCTTAAATATCCTCCTTTATCGTGCCTGAATAAACATGTGGGATTAACCCAAGCCCTATAGGCTTGACCATTTAGGAACAACAAGTCTCTCTTCCTCCCAAAAGGCACCCTATTCCCTATGTAGTACACTACTAAAGTAGTGCACTAAATAGGGAATAGAATGTCATTTAGGATGCAGTCTGTGTCTCATATCTCAGAGGAGGGGGTATCAAACGGAACACAATTAACTGTCTGGGATGACACACCATCATATTAAAGCTCCATGGCAACAAACATTAGAGGGATAATGATGAGACAGAGATGTAATTAAATATTCCACTGAACTCGTCAGAGCACCACCGCTGCAGGCTAACACATGCACACACACACACACACACACACACTGGGCTATCACAAATATATGCCGACAAAACATACAGTATTCTGCCTGGGTTCTCTAGCTACGTCTCTCTCTGTGTGTGTGTGTGTGTGTGGGGGTGTGTGTGTATGTGTGTGTGTGTGTGTGTGTGTGCTGGCATGCATGTGTACATGTGTATCTCGGTTCCTGGTAGTAGATGCATTATGCAGAGCTATGCCTGCCCTTGGGGAATCAGGTCTGTTTTCAGAGAGCAGGAGGGATGAGTATGTCAGTATCTCTGTGTTAGGGTGCAGTTACAGGCTGTGTCCCAAATGGAATCCTATTCCCTAAAAATAGTGCACTTCTTTTTATCAGGGCCCATAGGGCATTATTTAGGGAATAGGGTGACACTTGGGACAGCCACAGTATCTGTAGGGTAAGGAAGGGTTAATAAAACGTGATGTGTAGGCGCTAGATGTAGGGGGTGGTGAGTAGGGTTGAATATTGTCCCGGTATTTTACAAATGTTCCATCCCGAGAATAAATCACTTTTCTCTTCCGGGTAACCCGGTATTTCCCGCCAAAAGCAGAAGTGTCATTCAAAAGCATTATAAAACATATAAATATGTCTGGATTTGACTAGAACTTTGATCAGCATGAAAATTCTAACCTGATGCTACCTGAGCCTGATGAGCCATATATTAAATGCATTTTAACCCTAACCCTAACCCTAACCCTAACCCTAACCCAAGCCCAAAAAAGTCAAAATGATTGTGCAGTTATCCAATACATATATGATATAGGCTACTGCACATTACGCAGTAGCCTATAAAAACATAAAAGCCCATTGATGTAACTAGCTATATACTCTCTCAGGTAAATAAATGAAACTAGCTCCAGTAGGCTAATCTTTTTGAGTACTGTATTGTATTATACTGTATTATATGGACTGGAATTACGCACATTGTTCAAACCATGATAAAGCAAATGAGAACATGCGATTCTGGTGCAGCACATGCGGACTACAATTATAGGCTAGTGAATTTAAATTAATCATTTTCATTTAGAAATATATTGGAGGTAGGCTGACGCATAGACTTATATACCGTTCATAATGTTTATCCTAATGTTATTAGCCTACCTCCAATAAGTTTTGCTGTCCTTATCTTCATCATTCTAATGACATCCTTGAAAAATATAGGACTAGAATTAGATGCAGAAGGATTTCACTTCTCTTCACGAAGATTGAGTGGTTATGGGTCTGAACAAATAACTGCTATAGCCTACCGCCATCGCACATTCGTGCTTCTTTCAAACTACCTGTGAGTTCTATTGGCTGCTATTGTTAACATTCAGCAAAAAAGAGCTTGCATCCATCTTCGAATAGTCTATTGGTACAAGAAATGCTATAAAAAGAATGTCCAGTAAGCTATTATAGTCTAGCTTTTTGTGCATGGGACTCCAAGAGCTAAGGAGCGTTTTTTAAAGAGAGACCAGCGGAGCACAGGTGGTTGCGTATTGCGCAAGAGACAGCGGCTATAAATTATAAGCTTATTATGCATAACCCATAATTAATTAGCTAAATATAAGGCTAATACTGCATTGAATTTTTTACCTGAAAGAGGTAGGCTAGGACATCTATATATAGGGCTATATATCAATCTAGAACACGATTATCTATTTTGGATGTAATTTGAATGGAGTTGATGGAGAGAGAGAAAGACCGCAAGAGTGCTCGCGTGTGCACTGATTTAAAGCAATGATATTCGAGTGATAGGCTGTTTTAAAACTCTGCAGCTGCAATAAAAAATTTACATTCTTTACAATTAAAAAATAAGGTGATACCCGAAAGCCAGATGGAGATGGGTAAATCAGACACGAATTTGGTCTATGGGGGGGAAAAAAGTAGTGGGGAAAAAAAGTATTTAGTCAGCCACCAATTGTGCAAGTTCTCCCACTTAAAAAGATGAGAGAGGGCTGTAATTTTCATCATAGGTACACGTCAACTATGACAGACAAATTGAGAGAAAAAAAATCCAGAAAATCACATTGTAGGATATTTAATTAATTTATTTGCAAATTATGGCGGAAAATAAGTATTTGGTCACCTACAAACAAGCAAGATTTCTGGCTCTCACAGACCTGTAACTTCTTCTTTAAGAGGCTCCTCTGTCCTCCACTCGTTACCTGTATTAATGGCACCTGTTTGAACTTGTTATCAGTATAAAAGACACCTGTCCACAACCTCAAACAGTCACACTCCAAACTCCACTATGGCCAAGACCAAAGAGCTGTCAAAGGACACCAGAAACAAAATTGTAGACCTGCACCAGGCTGGGAAGACTGAATCTGCAATAGGTAAGCAGCTTGGTTTGAAGAAATCAACTGTGGGAGCAATTATTAGGAAATGGAAGACATACAAGACCACTGATAATCTCCCTCGATCTGGGGCTCCACGCAAGATCTCACCCCGTGGGGTCAAAGTGATCACAAGAACGGTGAGCAAAAATCCCAGAACCACACGGGGGGACCTAGTGAATGACCTGCAGAGAGCTGGGACCAAAGTAACAAAGCCTACCATCAGTAACAAACTCGCCGCCAGGGACTCAAATCCTGCAGTGCCAGACGTGTCCCCCTGCTTAAGCCAGTACATGTCCAGGCCCGTCTGAAGTTTGCTAGAGTGCATTTGGATGATCCAGAAGAGGATTGGGAGAATGTCATATGGTCAGATGAAACCAAAATAGAACTTTTTGGTAAAAACTCAACTCGTCGTGTTTGGAGGACAAAGAATGCTGAGTTGCATCCAAGGAACACCATACCTACTGTGAAGCATGGGGGTGGAAACATCATGCTTTGGGGCTGTTTTTCTGCAAAGGGACCAGGACGACTGATCCGTGTAAAGGAAAGAATTAATGGGGCCATGTATCGTGAGATTTTGAGTGAAAACCTCCTTCCATCAGCAAGGGCATTGAAGATGAAACGTGGCTGGGTCTTTCAGCATGACAATGATCCCAAACACACCGCCCGGGTAACAAAGGAGTGGCTTCGTAAGAAGCATTTCAAGGTCCTGGAGTGGCCTAGCCAGTCTCCAGATCTCAACCCCATAGAAAATCTTTGGAGGGAGTTGAAAGTCCGTGTTGCCCAGCGACAGCCCCAAAACATCACTGCTCTAGAGGAGATCTGCATGGAGGCATGGGCCAAAATACCAGCAACAGTGTGTGAAAACCTTGTGAAGACTTACAGAAAACGTTTGACCTGTGTTATTGCCAACAAAGGGTATATAACAAAGTATTGAGAAACTTTTGTTATTGACCAAATACTTATTTTCTACCATAATTTGCAAATAAATTCATTAAAAATCCTACAATGTGATTTTCTGGAAAAAAAATTCTCATTTTGTCTGTCATAGTTGACGTGTACCTATGATGAAAATTACAGGCCTCTCTCATCTTTTTAAGTGGGAGAACTTGCACAATTGGTGGCTGACTAAATAATTCCCCCCCCCCACTGTATTACTGTTGCTGCAGCAAATGTAGGCCTAGCTGTCACAAGAAAAAAAGTTAACATGATGAGATGATACTGTAGGTCTACATGCATTGTAAACTGCGCTCCATACTGAGATGGGCTGTCTGTCCCCACCCTGAACTTTGATTCATCATGCAGAGGCTGTAGAGAAGCCAGATTTAGACATTGCATCTAATTTAACAGTTCCATTACACGCCATGCTTTTCATATCAATCATTTATTATATTTTACCAGTTTCTCGCAGTTATTTATCCCGGGAAAAGGGAGTGGTTTTGGGCTGTAAATCCCGGTAAATCTCGGTAACCGGGTTCCCGCCATTCAACCCTAGTAGTGAGGCATAGCCGACTGTAGTGTAGTTATCCACATCTGTAGTGTAGTTACACACATCTGTAGTGTAGTTACCCACATGGTCTCAAATGGCACCCTGTTTCCCTGTAAATTGGCCCCATCCATAATGGCTGTCAATACTAGTTTAACTAATATTGTTTCCCTTTGTGACTACATACTAACCAAGAGGCCAACAATACTGTCCGTTAGAACTACACTAAGCCCTAAACCCACACTGCTAGGGCTATGACAAATCCCATGAAGTAATGTAGAATTCATTTCATCATCAACATCAAAGACAACACTCCATGTCTAACCGTTCTCTCTAATAGGTATGTATAGCTGTGTGTATACAACACAGTGAGTGGGATCCCTATGGAGGAATAGCAATTAAACTGGGTATCACATATTGGGAAATAATTACACCCTGCCTAGGCACAGCTATGGTGATATCGCAGCCACAGCGCTCTCTCTCTCGCTCTCTCACCACTCAGAGGGGAATGAGAAATACACTGGACATAACATTAGGAACACCTTCCTAATATTTTCCCCTCAGAACAGCCTCAATTCGTTGGGACATGGACTCTACAAGGTGTCGAAAGCATTCCACATGGATGCTGGCCCATGTTGACTCCAATGCTTCCAACAGTTGGCTGGATGTCCTTTGGGTGGTGGACCATTCTTGATGCACACGGGAAACTGTTGAGCTTGAAAAACCCTGCACTGTGGCAGTTCTTGACACAAACCGGTGCGCCTGGCACCTACTACCATACCCCGTTCAAACGCACTTAAATATTTTGTCTTGTCCATTCACCCTCTGAATGGCACACATACACAATCCATGTCTCAAGGTTTAAGAATACTTATTTAACCTGTCTCCTCCCCTTCATGTACACTGATTGACTTGGATTTAACAAGTGACATCAATAAGGGATCATAGCTTTCCCCTGGTCAGCCTATGTCATGGAAAGAGCAGGTGTTCCTAACACTTTGTACACTCAGTGTACATTTAGCAAACACTCTTATCCAGAACAACAACTAGGGTTAAGGGCACATCAACAGATGTTTCACTTAGTTAGCTCAGGGATTTGAACCAGTAACCTTTTGGTTATTGGCCACACACGTAACCGCTAAGCTACCTGCCTAGACCGATGTAAGTGCCTTCTGTTTGACAGTCTGATTTGTTTCATCTTAACCTAAATGAGAAAGCGACAATCGTTCTTAATAAACCCACCATATTGAGGGAACTACAGTAACAGCATGACTGAAGCAGTGCACCACCATGGGCAATAGTGTGTAATTCCACTAGGGAACCGAGTTTCCCCCTGCATGAACCCAGGCTTAAAGAAACAAGAACACAGCCCAGTCTCTAAGGGACAGGATAGATAGATACCACTGTCTGTCTGTCTGTCTGTCTGTCTGTCTGTCTGCCAGCTACCTCTACTCCTATATTTGTCCTCAAATAAAATCATCTGCAGTCCACCGGGGTGTTGAATCAATATTCGCTACTGGCACAATGTCACAACAACAACAACTTCAAAATGGCCATCTAGGAAGGGCTCTATTGGTTAGTACATAAGAGGGAGAAGGAAGGTGATGAGACCGGGAATGGGAGTGGCCAGTATTCAGGAGGACAAGGTTGTCCTTTAAAACACAATTTTAGAGGAAAATAAGATAGAGCTAGCAAGAGTAAAGAGAAAGAGAGAAAGATATTTAGATCAATATCAAGAGGAATAGAGACTGTTTTATTTTAAAATACCTTTATTGGCCCAATAGTTCATCATTACAACCACAAACTTTACTTCATCTTAACGAACGTAAAAAGCTAGAACCCAACCCCCCTCCTCGTCCATTGTGCATAGAACCCCCCTGATGCCCCACACCCCTACAGACGGTGAACCAGCACCCCATATACATGCTCCAGTGTGAACCGAGGAAGAGCGAGAGAGAGAAAAAAAGAGAGAGAGATTAAGATGGAGATCAAGAGAGAGAGAGGGTAGCGAGATAGAGTGAAAAAGAGAAAGAGAAAAGACAGAAAGAAAGAGAGAGTCACAGAGGCGGCAACGGTGACTTAGGTTCTCAATCTGAGGGACACGGTGGGGGATCGAGGTTGAGAAGACGTATTTAGCTATTTATTTTCCATGGTCACAATGGCCTGACCCATGGGCCATGACATTCTAAATGGAAAACTTGCTCTGTGCTCTGCTCCTTCTCTCCTTCAGCCCCACGCTTCCATGGCCCCGTGTAGTTCAGTTGGTAGAACAGGGTTGTTGGTTCGATTCCCACCGGGGGCCAGTATGAAAAATGTATGCACTAACTGTAAGTCTCTCTGGATAAGAGCGTCTGCTAAATGACTAAAATGTAAAATGACTGACAGCTGTGAATGTTCTCTCCACTACATTACGTGACTATGCTGAATGTCTTCTTTATGAGAAAGAAAGAGAGCGGTGAGAGATATAGGGAGAGAGGAGGGAGAAGAACGTTTGACCTCCTATATACATTCTTCAAGGACGGGCCATAAGGAAAAAGTTGAATAACACATTATTATGTGTTCAGAGAGAACAGGGGCTGCTGTCTCCAAAGTAATAAATACTTAATCGTATGATCATCATTTAATCATAAATAGATTCAATTTGAGCTTAAATGTGATTCACCTTATCAGAAAAAGGCCACTAATCGATCCTGTATTTCTGGGGAGTATCTCACTGGATTCAGTTCAAGTCTGTAGTGTAGCAATTATCAGAATTTATAGTTAAGCTGTTTTACTGTGATTTCATTAGTGGCAGATGTTTGGTGCAAGGCATATTATAACATGTTATGTCTGTTAAAATGGCAGCCAGATGATTTGGGGTAATTTCCACGTACTAGAATACAATTGAACTCCCTCTCCACATTTTAACTTCTAGCTACACACCAACATATTGCACAGTACAGTGGCACCCAAAATAATAATCCCTTCATCAGAATATATAATGAGACAGATGGAAAAGTTTGTATAGATTAGTTGGATCTCTAACACATCAACAATGACAAAACGGAATGGATCAACATAAAAGCTGCCCAAAAGACTGCCTGCCTAAAACACACACTGCTGTCTGAGGACCGCTTAGGGTTGGTATGGGCAGAGTTGTGCACTTCTTGTTCCGGAGGACACACAGCCAATGACATTTGATCCTGAACCCATGGGGTGTAGTATAAACAGACAGTACAGTAGCCCGAGCTGCATGTTCTGAAGGTCCTGTGTTGCTCAGTTGTTAAGAGCATGGCACTAGCAATGCCAAGGTAGTGGGTTCAATTCCCGCAGGGCACACAGACACATGTACAAAAACATATTCAGATTCAGAAAGCATTATTGTTCTAACAATGTACAGTATGTACTAACTTTACTGCAGGGGTAGACAACCCTGGTCCTGGAGTGCCGAATACACTTTTTTATTTAACCGACCTGGAAGACCAGGTGTGTTGAATCACTGAACTGAACAATTATCTAAGTAGCTCAGTGTGGTGCCTAGTTGGGACAAAATCCTGCAGTACTTGCGGCACTCCAGGAACAGGGTTACCTACCCCTACTGTACCGTATAACTTTGGATAGAAACATCTGCTAAATAGCATAATGTCTCTTCTTCTGTAGCCAGTAGACAGGCAGACTGATCCATTGGTATGCAGTGCATCTAGAGAAGCTGTTAGAGGCCTGTGAGATGAGGTGTCATGGACTTTAGCAGGAGCCCAGCTATAAAACCAAATGAGGCAAGGAAACATTGTGTTTAGCCCTCCCTGCAGAAGCATCCTAAGACATTATCCAGGACGATGGTAGCTCTGCTCCGCTCAGTCTAGTGAAATATCATTCTGCAGTGGGAAGGATGTTTAGCTACTGTACTCACTGTGATGGAGTCTCTCACTGACACACACCTGTCTCAGGCTACTTCACTATGCACACACACACACACACACACACACACACACAGACACACACACACACACACACACACACACACACACACACACACACTGCTGCAGCCTGTAGTGGTACTATAGGGGCTGAGTGTGATAGCAGACATATCTCTACAGCACCACAGTCAGCACACACAGGGTGCATCCCAAATGGTACCCTATTCACTATATAGTGCACTACCCTATGGGCCCTGGTAGAAATTAATGCACTATATAGGGAATAGGGTGACATTTGAGACGCAGCCACAGTCCCATCAGCAGAACAGCCAGTGGTTAATGCTGTGGACCACTCCCCTCCATAGAGTCCCTCTGTTTAGCCTGTGTTTTATCTAATCATGCATATCCTAATGCTTTACGCCTGAGCAGTTAAAGAGGCACAGGGAATTCAGAGCCCAGCCGCAGTTTACCTTTGCAATAATGTAATCTGGAAGTCTGTGAAGAGGGAACGAACCGAGGTGGCATGCATGCGTACGTACACACGTAGGTACAAAGTACACACATATGGAGGCATGCACACAAGCATGCACGTAAACACACACACACACACATAATTGCTTCTGCTTGTGGTAAATATCTCAGCTCTGCCACAATAGTCTCACGATGACTAAATCAACTTTAATGAGCAATAACAAAGAGAAAGAAAGCTCTTTATGATCAGACTGTGCAGTGTTGGAGTGGAAGGAGAAGAGAGAGAAAGAGAGGGACAGCTGGGAGTTTGAGTGCAGCTGTGACATTAGCTCTCTGTCCCTACAGCCTGGGAACGAGAGAGCGAGGGAGAGAGGGAGAGAAAGAGAGCGAGAGAGAGAGAGAGAGAGAGAGAGAGAGAGAGAGAGAGAGAGAGATAGAGAGAGAGAAGAGAGATATCGATCCTTAATAAGCCCTCTTCTAGATCTCTCTAGTTTCTCTCTCTCTTTCTCTCCCTCTCTGTCTGCGCTGATCTCCCTCTCTCTCTCTCTCTCCTCTCTCGCTCTCCTCTGCGTATCTCTCTCTATCTCTCTCTCCTCTCTCTCTCTCTAGCTCTCTCGTCCCTCTCTGCACTTCTCTCCTCTCTCCTCTGCTTCCTCCTCTTCTCTCTCCTCTCTCTCCCTCGCTCTCCTCTCTCCTCTCTCTGCTCTCTCTCGCCTCTCTCTCTCTCTCTGCTCTCTATCTCTCTCTCTCTCTCTTCTCTTCTCCTCTCTCTCTCTCTCTCTCTCACTCTCTCTGCGCCTCTCGCCTCTGCTCATCTCTCTCTTCTCTCTCTTCTCGTCTCTCTACCACGCTCTCTCTCTCTCTCTCTCTAGCTATCTCTCCTGAATAAGCATGAGGCCTGCCTGCCTGCAGCTCAACACCAGAAAATACCTCTGCATCAAAAATAACACAACAACCCCATAGAGCTACAGTACCAGCTTCACTGTATTTCTCCAGAATGGAGTGAATACTGAATGACCAGAACAGCCATTACACTGCCTGTGCCCCAAATGGCACCATATTCCCTACATACACTGGCCCTCCTGTAGCTCAGTTGGTAGAGCATGGCGCTTGCAATGCCAGGGTTGTGGGTTTGATTCCCACGGGGGCCAGTATGAAAAATGTATGCACTCACTAACTGTAAGTCGCTCTGGATAAGAGTGTCTGCTAAATGACTAAAATGTAAAAAAAATACACTCTTAGAAAAAAAGGTGCTGTCTAGAACCTGAAAGGGTTCTTTGCTGTCCCCATAGGAGAGCCCTTTTTGGGTTCCATGTACAACCGTTTCCACAGAGGGTTCTACATGGAACCACATAGGGTTATACCTGGAACCAAAAAGGGTTCTCCTATGGGGACAGCAAAGAACCCTTTTGGAGCCCTTTTTTCTAAGTGTAGTGCACTACTTTTGATCAGGCCGGGCCCATAAGTCTCTGGTCAAAAGTAGTGCCCTATATAGGGAATATGGGACTCGCACATGCTGAATGAGTGAGTGTAGGCAAAACTGCAGTGGACCGGACAGCAATCAAGAAGCTAGACCCAGCGACCCATTTCCCACTCAGAGAACATTACTAACAGGCAATTTGGAGCCAGGAATCAATACATGCACTGGAGTCCTACCAATCTGTTCCCATTAATAATGGATCCAGCCACTTACATGTAGACTCTCATTTAGACTTATTTGTTGAGTAGGATTGGAGGTGATTGGAGTGGGGCAATATATTGCATTAATGTGGTCTGTTGCACTATTAGCAACATACACTAAGTATACCAAACATTAGGAACACCTTCCTAATATTGAGTTGCACCCCCCCTTTTGCCCTCAGAACAGCCTCAATTCGTCAGGGCATGGACTCTATAAGGTGTCAAACATGCTGTCCCATGTTGACTCCAAAGCTTCCCACAGTTGTGTCAAGTTGGCTGGATGTCCTTTGGGTGGTGGACCATTCTTGATGCACATGGGAAACTTTTGAATGTGAAAAACCCAGCAGCGTTGCAGTTCTTGACACAAACCGGTGCACCTGGCACCTACTACCATACCCCTTTCAAAGTCACTTAAATTTTTTGTCTTGCCCATTCACCCTTTGAATGGCACACATACACAATCCTTGTCTCAATTGTCTCAAGGCTTAAAAATCCTTCTTTAACCTCCTCCCCTTCATCTACACTGATTGATCTACACATCAATAAGGGATCATAGCTTTCACCTGGATTCACTGATCAGTCTATGTTCTTAATGTTTTGTATTCTCACTGTATATTATCATACAGTACAGTCAATATCGTTCTCTACTTTCAGTTCAATCATTTAGACACATTTGAAATTGTTTCTTGGTTATTGCAATACTTTTGGTGGGAAACTACTATATTAATTGTAATTTGCTATTTTTGTAGGCTACAAGTGATGAACTATCAACAAAGAATATCATTTGAGAGAACTACCTCAAATAAACTTTCTATAAATAAAAAACGGAGGTGAGAACTTGAAGAACTTAAGACCGTTTCAGAAATGTTTTCAGAAATAACGTTGTAGCTACACAGACATATTACAAAAGTATGGTTTTAAATGTAAGAAAAACATTGAACATCTTTTTCAAATGTTAGCCTCATGTTCTATAGCTCTAGCTTCTATGTAGGTTGCAGAACTCTGGCATCTCACCAAAACACAAGCTACTTCTCTCTGTTGCCTTTTATCTAAACCTCCCCTGGCTATAGTGAATCATTTGCTGGAATAAACCATATTGGTTATAAGCTCATTGCTTCATGGGTGGTTTAGCTGGAAGGAGCAGTTTGTTTTCATCATTCAATTACATCCATAAATGATGGCATAATTAACAGGAGGGACAGACCAGGATAGTGGCCTTCAGGGGATGGCTGCGGCTCAGTCTTTCCCAAACTTTTTCACTTGGGGTCCCCCTTCCAGCATTGGGGAAAACCTAAATACAAAACGTTAGCTGACATGGGCTAGTTGATCTGGACATTTCTGACAAGTTATAAATAGCTCTCTAAGGTATGCAATGACTAACATGACAAGAGGAACTGATGATGCACAACCCAATTTTGTAATTGCACCTTGTGCATGAGGGGCGCACCCCACAGTTTGGGAACCACTGCTCTAAACAACAATGGTGGTGGTCTGACTGGACCTAGGCATATGAGAAGAAAATAGAAAAACTGTGGACAGGACAGTGGCCTTCATGCTCCAGCTCTACAGCTGTGTTCTGTTTTGGGGACAGCGGCCTTCAGCAGGCCATCTCTGCAGCTCTGTTCTACTCTGCTCTGCCTTGTACACAATGGTGGTGCTCTGACATGACTCAGAGACATAGGAGGAAAACAGGGGTATGTAAAGGTTAGGTTTTATCAAGCAAATAAATGCAATAGAAAACCAGCTATGCCAAACCACAGACGTTGTTGTTGAGCCATTGAGTGACAAGTCAGGAAGAGAAATCCCCTGGTCCAAATTAGCACAGTCTCTCCACTGTGACAGTATGTTTTGTGAGGACTGGCATAACACAAATTGGCTGCCCTGAATTACCCAAGTGGGTTCTACAAATTGGTGGTGGTACAGGGTTAGTTAGTATGATGCAGTGCAATGCTTTGAGACCTAGTGAAAAAAGCCAAATAAATGCTATCCAATATTATTATTAAATGCTCAGAGAGAACACAATAAAAACTGGACAGGACACTTCACAATCACATCATGTGAGCAGCTCCATTCTAGTTGGGTGGGACTTATCCTGGGCCTAGAGTAAGATGACATAATCTATTGTATGTTTTTTTTCTCTCTTACTAGTCCCAAGCATGACTTAAAGTTCTGCTATATGTCTTCAAGGACATATAGATAATAACTTGGTGGGCTGGGCTCCTTCAGCATGTTAAGAAGACACACTATAGTTTGTCCACTGCCCAGAACAAAACATTCCTAATCTCTTTCTCTCTTTCTTTCAGAGAAAATCAATAATTCAACAAAGGAGAGAATCCATTCCGAGATGAATCCCATGTGAAATTACCTTTTCTTTATTCCGCATTGTGAAGTGCATTAAAGTAATTGTCCTCTCCAAACGGACCTGAAGAATGGCAGGATAGTGCACACATTACCTTTGTCCCAAACGGCACCCTATTCCCTATATAGTGCACTAGTTTTGACCAGAGCCCTATGGGGCCTTGTTCAAATGTAGTGCACTATAATGGGAATACGGTGCCATTTAGGAAACACACATTATCACCAGGGTTTCCAATTCCCCAGCTATTGACGCTGGCTCCTCTCCACACCGCCATGAAATGATATTATAGAAACGTTACCGATGTTGCTGGATGGCAAATTCATATTCATTGTGAAATGTTCTCTCTCGTGTGGATGACTGCTGTGATGACTGTCAGGTAAATGCGTGTCGGTAATTCTTGGGCAAGTAGAGAAAATCTTTTGGCATCAGTGAACAGACACAAACATTATCACATGAAATACTATGCCTAGAAAACTTAGTGGTTTTAATATCGTTGAAATGAACTTGTATCATAAGTCTGATGATACTATTGTTATTGTATCGCATTGTTCTCAGAGATATGAATCATAATGTACCGTTTAGGCTGTCACTGTAATTGCTCTTATAAAAGCAACAAGCGATCAGGATTATATCTAAGACCCACTTAGAACAATAGACAATCAAACAGTGAAAAATGACAAGGGCTGGTGGAAATTGTATCTTATTTCATTACAAATAGGTCACTGTGTATACTGCCTCAAGGCGTAATTTGTACTTGCACTTCAATGAGAGTCCAGGAAACTACCACCCAGTAAGGATATCACACACAACACAGCCCCTATCTACTAAAATACTCATTTGGTGCTTGTCGATGGTACCTGCTAATATGTGTTTAGCCAGGGATTTGGACGCGTCCCAAAAGGCACCCTGGTCCCTTTATAGTGCACTACATTTAACCAGGGCCCTTCAAAAGGAGTGCACTATATGGAACAGGGCGCCATTTGGGACGCATGCTTTGTCTCTGCGCTCTGCTGTGATCCAAGTCATCAACAACAGAAACATTCCCTCTTTCCTCCGATCTGCAGCTTTGAACCCATCGACCCTTCAGAAACGCTGCATGGACAGAATCACTGTTAAGTGCAGCTTTAAGTGGAAGACAGGTATGAGAGGGCTCCTAGCCTGACAGGAAATTGCCATTAAAGGATTGTTTTAGGCTCACAGGTTGACAAATAGACTACAGGATCACACAGATATTGATCCATTCACTGTTGTATTTACATTTGCCTGGAACACAAGGAAATGGCCTCATGGTGACACTTTAAAAGCTTACTGAAGCTTACTTAAGAGCTGGTTGCATGTTGCTGTTCAGAATGTTAGCCCTAGTGTGTGTGTGTGAGTGTTTGTGTGTGTGTGTGTGTGTGTGTGTGTGTGTGTGTGTGTGTGTGTGTGTGTGTGTGTGTGTGTGTGTGTGTGTGTGTGTGTGTGTGTGTGTGTGTGTGTGTGTGTGTGTGTGTGTGTGTGTGTGTGTGTGTGTGTGTGTGTGTGTGTGTGAATGGGTGATAGTGTGATAGTGTGTGTGTGAATGAGAGAGAGAGAAAAGGGCAACCAGTGAAGAACAAACACCATCGTAAATACATACCGTATTTATGTTTATTTATTTTCCCATTTGTACTTTAACTATTTGCACATTGTTACAACACTGTATATATACATAATATGACATTTGAAATGTCTTTATTCTTTTGGAACTTCTGAGTGTAATGTTTACTGTTAATATTTATTGTTTATTTCACTTTTATTTACTAGCTACTTCACTTGCCTTGGCAATGTTAACACACGTTTCCCATGCCAATAAAGCCCTTAAATTGAAATTGAGAGAGAGCGAGAGACAGAGAGAGAGAGAGATAGATAGAGAGAGAGTGAGAGAGAGAGATAGATAGAGAGAGCATGAGAAGAGAGAGATAGATACGAGAGAGAGCGAGAGAGAGAGAGAGAGAGAGAGAGAGAGCAGAGATGAGAGAGAGAGAGAGAGATAGATATTGATCGAGAGCGATAGAGATAGAGATAGATAGAGATAGAGGATATATAGCTATGAGATCTGAGATAGCGATATAGAGATATTTCGCCGCGATATCGATATCTAGATATAGAAGATATATCTACATCTCAGCGCAATATATATTTGTAGGCTGCGATATATGCTATTTCAGTATCTATATCGGTCGCTCGCCGAACGACGTCTCGCATCGCTCGCTGCCGTCTCGCTCGCTCGCTATCTCGATCCTCGCTCTCTCGCTCACTCCATCGCTCGATGCTCGCTGCTCGCTCGCTCGCTCGCTCGTCCTCGCTCGCTCGCTCGCTCGCTCGCTCTGCTATCTCTGCGCCGCTGTCTCCAATGATGAGGTGAGGTAAAGGATGTTCCATCAGCTGCGCTGGCCACTCGTCATTCTCCCCAGCAGGTCATGACACCTAAAACCCTTTCCTGGTCTAAAACCTTTTAGTTTACAACCTGTCGTTTCAAACGTCTCATTGTCATTCCCCACCACACGCTTGTCCTACAGGCCCCTTTTTCTCATTTGGGCTGGGAAAAAACAGAATGTAATGGTGTCTAGGCAGACAGCCAGATAGTCAAATGTTGTGCGAGTTGGAGGGGAGCTGTGTTTCAAAGGCAATTCACAATGACAAATGACAAAAGTTTCAAACAAAGTATCTTCTCTGTTAAGAAAGCCTCATTAGGAATTGGAGCAGAGAGAGCCGGGGCTAGAGGATAGAGCAGCCATGCATACCACGGTCTGATCAGTCACACTGACAAGTAAACAATCACAGCTCTGCTCTCTCTCTCCACCTCGCTCGCAGCCTCCCAGGCACTACAGGTAACATCCATTCAATCCATTCAATACACCCCATTAAATAGAAGATAAAAAAGAATATTCTCCCTCCTCCCCTTCAGCCTTCCCACCATTCAGTGTGGCTGAGTCTCAAATGGCACCCTGTTTCCTATGTTGTCCAATACTTTTGACCAGAGCCCTATAGAGTTGTGCACTACATAGGGAATAGTGTGGCCTTTGAGACGCAGTCTATGACACTGGGGGAATGAACAAGGCTACTTCTTTTAACTGACTCATTCAATAAACAGACAGAAAAGGAATCTATTCAGTTGTTCAGAGTGCGATATTGTTTGCTGCTGGTAGGGATAAAATACCGTACATCAATGTAAATATATACAGAATAATGCCTGTATTATAGTGTGTGTCCTTATTGAAAAAATGGCACCGCCATCCATTACACCACCGACTTCATTCTAAAAATAAACTGTAAAGATGAATGCAAAAAAGGCTTGTAAAAGAAACACAATACAGAGACTAGGCTATACAGTATATATAACTGCTATGTGCTCAAGGCATGATCCAGGTATGATCCACTGTTTATGTCTACACAACACATTAAACTGTCCAACTAGTTTTGACGTTTCTTGATGGAACCTACTGTGTAAGTACATTTGTAATACATAATTGCCAGAGCATGCACATTTGGGAGTAAACTGAATACAGTAGTCAAGCTAGCTCTATCAATATTATGATGAGCATCTTTGTGTGTGTGTTTGTGTGTGTGTTTGTGTGTATGTGTGTGTGTGTGTGTGTGTGTGTGTGTGTGTGTGTGTGTATGTATGTGTGTGTGTGTGTGTGTGTGTGTGTGTGTGCCTGTGTGAATACCTGTGTTGTGTTTGACACACAGTATATACCCTGAGTATACCAAACATTAGGAACACCTTTTGCCCTCAGAACAGCATCAATTCGTGGACTCTACAAGGTGTCAAAAGCGTTCCATAGGGATGCTGGCTCATGTTGAATCCAATGCTTCCCACAGTTGATTCAAGTTGGCTAGATGTCCTTTGAGTGGTTGACCATTCTTGATACACACAGGAAATCCAGCAGTGTTGCAGTTCTTGACTCAAACCGGTACGCCTGGCACCTACTACCATACCCTGTTCAAAGGCACTTAAATATTTTGTCTTGCCCATTCACCCTCTGACTGGCACACATACACAATCCATGTCTCAATTGTCTAAAGGCTTAAAAATCCTTCTTTAACCTGTCTCCTCCCCTTCATCTACACTGATTGAAGTGGATTTAACAGGTGACATCAATAAGGGATCATAGCTTTCACCTGGATTCACCGGGTCAGTCTATGTCATGAAAAGAGCAGGTGTTCTTAATGTTTTGTTTATGTGTATGTGAACAAGAGAAATTGATCAGGGAGAAGGGACTCCTTCATTCACAACACACCCCCTCCTCCATTCACAACACACCCCCTCCTCCATTCACAACACACCCCCTCCTCCCTTCACAACACACCCCCTCCTCCATTCACAACACACCCCCTCCTCCCTTCACAACACACCCCCTCCTCCATTCACAACAAACCCTCCTCCATTCACAACACACCCCCCTCCATTCACCAACACCCTCCCCATTCACAACAACCCCCGACTCCATCAAAACCATGCAGCACCCCTCCCCTCCTTCAGAGCACAGCCCCCGGCCCTCCTTCACAACACACCCCCTCCTCCATTCACAACACACACCCTCCACAACAGACAGACTGATCCATTGGCATGCAGTGCATCTAGAGAAGCTGTTAGAGGCCTGTGAGATGAGGTGTCATGGACTATAGCAGGAGCCCAGCTATAAAACCAAATGAGGCAAGGAAACATTGTGTTTAGCCCTCCCTGCAGACGCATCCTAAGACATCTCCTGAGTGGCGCAGTGGTCTAAGGCTGTGCCACTAGAGATCCTGGTTCGAATCCAGGCTCTGTCGCAGCCGGCCGCGACCGGGAGACTCATGGGCAGCGCACAATTGGCCTAGCGTTGTCCAGGGTAGGGGAGGGAATGGCCGGCAGGGATGTAGCTCAGTTGATAGAGCATGGCGTTTGCAACGCCAGGGTTGTGGGTTCGATTCCCACGGGGGACCAGTATGGAGAAAAAAAAATGGAAAAAAAATGAAAAAAATAAAGAAAAATAAATACAATGTGCAAAAATTAAAAAATTTCCCCATTCACTAACTGTAAGTCGCTCTGGATAAGAGCGTCTGCTAAATGACTAAAATGTAAATGTAATTATCCAGGACGATGGTAGCTCTGCTCCGCTCAGTCTAGTGAAATATCATTCTGCAGTGGGAAGGATGTTTAGCTACTGTACTCACTGTGATGGAGTCTCTCACTGACACACCTGTCTCAGGCTACTTCACTCTGCACACACACACACACATACACCTGTTTCACACTACTTCACTCTGCACACACACACACACACACACTGCTGCAGCCTGTAGTGGTACTCTAGAGGTTGAGTGTGATAGCAGACAGATCTCTGCAGCACCACAGTCAGCACACACAAGGTGCATCCCAAATGGTACCCTATTCACTATATAGTGCACTACCCACTGTCAGCGTAACCTGTCAGGCGTGTTCGTCAGTAACTCCCCTTGCTTTGGGCTGCTCTAGAGGGCCAGAAGGAGAGATGATACATACATGGCCATGGAGCGGACTCAAGGAGAGACTGTGCTAGGGGCAGGTGATACATTTCCTTCCGACGGAGACTTGCTCTGTGATAGGCTGCCTCAGCAGGAAGCGAAACAACGTAGGAGGGAGTTGGACGATACCCAGTGTCTGTGCGTCCGTGTGCGTGTGTGGTCGGGAATGGATTGAAGTGATACACTCTCCAATTAGTGGTGTACTCCTCTCCTGCTCAGCTGGCTCTTGACTGCTCTGGCAGGACTGTGTGTTTGTTTATCCCTGGCATATTAGCCGCCATACTTTGTTGGTTCGGGAGATGACCAACTCATAAGCACTGGCATCATTTAAACTGGATTATAGACTTGCAAACACACGTATGTTAGTGATGCCCAGGCCAGCTGTTTGCTCACCCACACCCGCCCGCAATTGCTAATAACCCATCCGCAACCGCTCAACTATATGGGATAAAGCGATAAATCTGACGCCCGCACCCGACCCTAACCTTTAAATACTGAAAATTCACTATACAGTCAGAGATGGCGGGTCAATTGTTGGACAGGCCTTTTAATAATAGGCCTATGTTTCTGCTTATAATTTCTGACATTTTGGTAGGCTATTTGTTAGTTAACTTGTCTATAGATAAATGCAGCTTCTCTTCTGTCATTACATGTTGCCCTAGAATACTAAATAAACCCCTGCTCACCAGAATAATGTCAAACATTTATAGAATGAATGCTTCAATCTAGTTGACATCGTAAAGTTCTCTTTCATCTCTGCTTCTCTCCCGCAGCAAAGACATTTAGGGACCAAAAAAAGAAAAAGGGAAATATGTCTGTGCAAAATTTCCAAATGACATCAGTTTGACCAGTTTTAAAGAAATTAAAGGCTGTGTAACTACCGAACATGTTTCTGATAAGATTTCAGTTCGGCTTGGATGTATATTTTATGTGGTTGAAATAGGCTACTATAAGCTTTTATGATGCTGATAAAGATAGCACCTTTACAGACATGTCCCTAACCACGAATTCATTCTCTCAAGATGCTGAAAGAAATAAATCATATTTCTACACTCCTGTTCCCGAGTCAAAATTGATATTTGATGTATCATTTTACTGCAAGAACTGCTTAATTCTGCAGGAGTTCATATTATAGTAGGCTATGTGAGAGGTTATAGACCTACAATCAGTGGCCGTGTCCAAATACCCATACCTAAATAGTAGGCTGTTTGAGTGTGCGAAAAATAGTATGTGACATTTCAAAAATGTAGTTTGCTTTAAACACCCGGGTGTCATACTCATTTTGACTTCTCATGTAGTATGAATGAATAGTGCTTCCATAGTAGAACCTTATCCTCCAGCCCTTGATAAAATACTGTCTGAATGCAGCAAAGTATCAGTCAGTGTGTGAGAAATTCAATAATGTGAAAAACCTCCATTTGGAAAGAGCCTGAATGCTACGGCAACACCAGCGGTCATGTTTGTTCTGATAAATAATACATTGTTCTTCTCTGCTCTCTTCACTCTCTGTTTACAGCACTCAGAACCGCCTCCCACTCACACAAGTCAGGGAGAAGAAGTACCACACAACGACTTGAAAGGTGACAGGAAACGGAGACAACGAGAGATAGGAAAAAATAGATTATATTTTACAGATCATCATGCGAACACGACCCGAGGGAGCAGCGAGCACAAAGACTTCACACAATTTGCCTGCTGTGCTGTGATGCGGAAGAGGTCTAGAAGATGGGGTGGGCGGAGAGAGAAAAGGGACAGATCCATAAATATTCACACATTGGGGACTCCGTGGCTTTCTGACACTGTGTGTCTAGGGGTTGCAGCAGAACTGTACTGTAGAAGAGAAAATCGTTTCTCCAATCCTTCGCCTCAGAACTGAGGATATATTGTGCAAT